GTGAGATATTCTAAAGCTATAGTAGAGTAGAAATAATTAGTTGAGTATAAATAATAATATAAACAAACATTTTCGACAGATAGACAAATAATCGATTAAAGTACGATATGTTATATTATAACTTACTTTTGAAAGTTCTTTTTCATTCAAATTCTTGTTTATTTGTTAAAATTATTTGCTTAAGTTATAACTTTTACTCGACTATAAGAAGGTAACTCTTTTTTCTGAAGTAACCACTCATTATATAAATAAAACAGCATTTCAAAATATTTATCGTCGCTGTAAATGGCCTATTCATATCACAGACAACTAATTCAGCATGGCTGTTTTTCTCATTTCGTACAAAACTGTCACACTGAAAAATGTTTTCATGAACATGAGTTATCTTCCATTATAACAGTTTATTAAGACAAAAAAACACTACAACACATATCACACGCACAAAATTTATAAACTATACACAGTATTATTATCCATATGTATATCGGGTGATACACGCAAGTACAATATCAAGCAAGTTAAGATAGTACTAGAATTAATACATAATGTAATTTCATGACCTATATAACAATGACAACCTTATTTCCTTAATCCAGTTTTACTACTTTCGAGATTTAAAGAGCATCTGCCACATTCTATATCTTTCCTTCGCTTCTTAATCTTAAAAACACGTCACGAAGCTTTCAATATAAAATCAACTTTGTAAAACTTAAAATTGGTTTAAGTCTGCGATATATTTTCAAAGAATCCCTAACAGACTTATTCTGGTCGAGTGAATTTCCCAAATGGGGCAAACATGTTACAATAACTTTTGGCGAATTAACGTGGGAGCAATCAACCGTCGGCTCTATTGCGGCCAGAAACTAAAACCGGGAACTTTTAGGTTTAAGTTACACATTTCGAAGGCCTATAAAAGATTCAGTTAAATAGTGATCACTGATCGTAGGTTCGGAATGAACAAATGCAGTAGGAAGCTTGTGTTTTATTTAAGATATGATAAAAAATACCCTAGCTAGATGTAGAATGCACAGTGTTACAAAATTGACAGAAAATATATTGTTTTTTACATTATACTGATATTACTTATGATGACTATATTCCGTAGTTGAAAAATCTAAATGACTAACATTCAAAGTTACATTTAAAAAAATCTTGGTATAAGATAAATTATCTAGTTTTCAACATAGACGCCTTCATTGTTCGATTATATATATATATATTATATGTATAAGAATATCTGTATTACTCCAGCCGACCCAACTTCGACCAGCAGAGTGATTCCATAAAGTCGGAACCCGAATTCGTGTTCACTCGATTCACTTCGAAAGCGACATCCGCTTAACCTTGAATTGGTATTAATGTTTAGTGGCATAAGTGAAGTGAGTTTCAAAATGACTAAGGGATAGAATATTTGAATAAAATGAATCAACCAATCTTGTTTTGTAAAAGGGAATCAATAGAATTTCCACACTAATACAAGTTAATCGGATTTGCTTTTGAAATGAATTAGGACACCTGAGTGAATTCGAATTCGGGTTCGAAATTTTACGAAATCGTTCTGCTGAAGTACAGAAGCTGCTAAGGATCTCCGCAAGCTTCGAGGAGTGTTTGTGCTGCCAGACTCTCGCTTTCCAGGATTGAGTGAGTAATGATATCTTCAGTTGACATACACGGAGAGGGCTGTTGATTATACCTATTATTTTGAGGTGATTGAGGTCCAAACGAAGCCTAACCTAGCTAGTTTCAGTAACATAGCGGATGAATTTAAGAAATAAAAAGTAGTAGATAAAGACAAAATCGATAGAGATAATCGGATACATTTTGCCTTTATTGTAAATAGCCTACAATCTACAAGTGAGTAAATAGACTAGACTAACTTTGACCCTTCAACGTTAGAAACATCCATCGAGATGTCTTAACTTAAAGTTTTGTCAAGCATGTTCTTGAGTGGAACTTTTAGTCATCGCAACCCTTACGGAACTTAAGCATTGTATATTGTTTAAATATATAAATAATAATGTAAGGTTTCAATATCTATAGCTAGTTTTGCATTTTTTTTAAATATAGCTTATAAACTGTCATAGGACAAGCGATGACTATATATTTTTATGACAATAGACCATGAGTTACGCCCGTTTTTTCTTATTTATATATATGTAGATACAATAATACTAGAACCTAGAACAACTTCGCGCGGATTTGAAGATATTTCTTGGGAAATCTCTTCTTCCCTCCCCAAAAAAATTCATATAAAGCAATGAAAACATTTAATGGAAACAAGTTGAATGTTTTAATTGGTCTTTATAATATAGAACAAACATGCAGAGTGACAAAATCAGCAGCCTTGTTGAGTTTATTGCCGGTTCTACTCGTTCTTTTGTATAGCTTTCGACTTTCACGAGTGTTTATAACAGTTTAGACTGAACAAATAATATTGATATTGATGCCGTTGTAAAACAATTAAATGTAGTTACACCGTTGGTCCCAACTACATTTGCAGTCGCTAATGCCCACCAATTCTCACTGGGCCCGCGTACTCTCACTTTCTCTATACGATTTGATTCAATTTCTTCCACAGTGAAGGTCTGAGCCTCAGCAATGTGGACATTCATAATGATAACTCACTAATAATGAAGCTTACTGATAAAATATTTTTTAAAAGTTCTTCAGTCGTTTTTGACTTTATTCATTACAAACAAACATACAAATATCAATCCTTTCCCGTTTATATTTGATATTAAAAAAGTCTTAAAGAGAATTATGCAAAATAACATTATTTCTTAACAACCATTCCAATATCATGGTCCCATCATGCTTTATCACGTTGAAGATGAGGTAAAGTCTCGAGTTACTCTTTTCCGTCCATTTTCGTCAGTAATATTAAGCTCGTGAATAGTATTTCTCGTTCAGCTCTATTTCCACTCAGTTAGGTTTTCGCATGACATGTAATGGGTCGGCCGCATTACCAACTCACCACGAGTAAGTGGGCGAAATATTAGCCAAGAATGAATTCTATTTGCGGTCACTCGTCAAAGTAGGATAAACACCAAAGCTAATTCGACTGTGGGCTTATATAAGTTGTTGTAATGGCAAAAACTTAGATTTTTTATTATATTCCGAGTTTTAACATATTTACTTAACAATGATCATTATATTTCACCTTTCAATTTACATCATTAAAACGTAAATCTGCTACATGAATTACTCTATGTATTGGTGGAAACTACATGGTAATTCGATTAGTAGTTTTTGAGTTCACTGCGATTATGATAAAGATTAATTTGATCCTCTTAGTGCATATAAGTATTATATTTTCACGATTTCTGATTCCTGTCCACTCAAGAGTATATGTATATTTAAAAACGAAAGGTCATTCGCTCATCACGAAATTTCAGAAACTACAAATGTAAGATGTTCCAAATTTTGCAAGGCTTTCTTTTTAGGAACTAGATGTGAACTAAGACGAGATTAACGTTACCGGTATTAACGATTAACGATAAAGTTACCGGCAACTAGTTTATTATAATGCGATATAAAAAGTTGCATCCATGCAATATGGTCAATTGCACTTAAATTTCCAATGAAAATCTCCACAATCAACATGAAACTGAATTGAATAAAGGTATTCTCCGTTACGGGCTCGTCAAAACATTCTAGGACCCTCCGGGGTCCAAAAACACCCTTCACATTACAGCCAGGAGCGTCGCCTCACAGACGGGAAAAGTTTTTAATTGCCGTTAATAAAAACCACAGATTGAAACGTGTCGTCAAATTTTAATTGTGAAAGCTCGCAGCCGAATTGCTTTATTTCGAAATTGTCTTTTAACGAATTCATTAAATTGTCTGTTTTTTTTTTTATTTCGTTATAATTGATCTGACGCCGATAATTATAAACTGTCATTAAACGGACCGCTGGCTGAGAATAACAAATGTCTGCGCCGTTTATTATAAATATATATTATTGATATTATATTATTCACATCTTTTATTACAGTAAAAAAAATAAGTAAATCCATTAAATTTTTCAACACACAAACGAACATTCTCCCACTTTTTACTAGACGTATTCGATAGGACAGTTCTGGTGATGCTTAATAATCGCATCTCAATAGAATCTCAACTATTTCCAATTTACCATTGTACTATCTACTAAAAGTCCAATATAATTAGTGCAATGTCTTCATAACACATCAACGGTGTCAGATGTATAATAATATTGTAGTTCAGGTAGCTAGTACATTGGGAAAATGTAAGAAGTTGAGGTTGTATTAAGATGCGATTATTTTGTAAACATTAGAAGAATGGGCCTACTGTTAAACCTCTTATCAAAATCGTATTAGGCAATTAATTAGAACAAAAATTTCAATACGCTGCCTACCTAAAATAGTAAATGATGAACTAACTTTTAGAGACAAAATAAAACAATATAAAACGACTTTTAAAACTACAACACAGTGATAAAGTTTAGCACTCATCTAAACGCATAACTCACTGAGATTTGATTTGGAATTCCAACATAATTCCACTAAAATTTAATCCGCCCTAAACTCTATTACAACACGAGTCGCCATCAAAAGTTAGTGTTACCAGCAAAATAAAACAAAGAACTCGATTAATTTAAACGCGTAACAATCATGGCGGAGCTCGTAGCAATTACGCTTCCGTAGCGGCTACGGAGTGCTACGAATCGTTGAATAAAGCCGGATGACTACGAAAGGGCTTTTTTACTGACACAGTTCTTGGAATTCTTTTATAAATACATATTTCCATTTAAAATACTTACTGCTATTAAAATACTATTAGATGAGTCATATATAAATCAAAGTATAATCAATGCATTTAAAATAATATCCATATCATTATTATTATATTAGACTTATTATATACATATATGAATAAATATAGCTATAGATGGAGTAACACCCAGACCAGAGACAATATAGAAAAAAAAATCTTGTACAAACTTATAAACATATTATAAGTGATTGTTTTCTTTACAGATGAGAGGAGCGTCATATTTTATAGCGCTTATAGCGCTTCTGGCGACAATCTCAGCCGAAACAATGGAAGGTAAGCGATACTATAAGAGACCGAGATATTTCAATAAATTATATTAAATAAAAATGAAAAATACTCTATTCATATAAGCAATTTGGCTGATGAGAAGAAACTTACTAGCTCTTTATCAAAAGTAACTACATCAACATGTCTAATTGTTATTTTTACACGCTATTTTATTAAAAAATAGCTTTAATTTTTGAAGTAGGTTTTGTTTGTTTGAATATAAAAGATAGCATACAGCTATAACAGCGCTGCGTTCGCCGAAGAGTTTGATGCTGTTTTCAAGACAGTATAGCACTGCAGAAAACATATCACTTCTCATCGTCTATGATGTAAACATATCGTCTATGAGAGAAGACGAAAAAAATCCTCATTATAAAGTCCATATAAATTTTCCTTAGTACAAACACAATATAATAACCAAATTTCAAACAATTAATTAAATTTGCGAACGTAAAAGCCTTTTGACAATAAAATGTTCTGCTACCCAGTTTCTTTCGTTAATGAATATAGGATTCTTCTTAATGTTTATTCATCGTTAAAAGTAATACAGCGGATTCTTTTCCGATAATTAATTGTAATTTAAATGACTCAAACTGATAATGTTTATTCTAATGTATGTTTGGTGTGTTATTTATCTAACTTGTACAGTTGATATTCGTTTCATATTTTAGTTTAGAATATTGTTTCACATATTTATTTAAATATTCAAAACTGCCATATGACACAAATTTAAACAATCTATTCATGCCCGAGCTCCCGTGAGAACAGCCAAACAGAAAGTAGCCGGGCCAGCCAGTCATAGGAAATTCTATTGTAGCCAGCCCTCTCCGCTAATGTTTGGCTAACCGTTAATAACTTAAGAACTCCATTCTAATAAAGCACGTACGATGCAAGCTAATTCTATTACCGACGGTCGATACACGCGCAAGGGTCAACAACACTGTTTGTTTGTAGATAAAGTCGGTACTGAGTTTACAGCGTTTGAAGTTCGGACCGGAGCAGCGTCTAAAACAAGCTAAATTCACTAGTCTAAAGCGCGCTTCAACAAACAACAGCGCCACACTGCGTATTCTCAGAGCTTCTACTTTTGGTAAATTGAATTTTAGTAACATTAATAAATTCAATTTCATTTTGAAGGTACGGCGAATATGACTATCTATGGCTAATCGTCTTCGTTTTAATCTTCGAGGTATTATAATAATTATTAAATACTATATAAGTATAGCCCATATATACTGAAGAAAAATAAAATAATAATAATTAAGAATCGAAAGAAGCCGCAATATTGAACTCACAGAAACTTTCATACTTCCAAATACTGATAAAAAATGAACATTCTCAATCATAAAGTTGGATAAAAGAAATTAAATGCGAGTTGAAATTTTTCATATAAAACCCTCGTGAAATTCGAAAGATCCGACATCGGCGAGCCGTCTGCCACTCCTTATTCCGTCCTAACACGTCTCAATAATTCAGGATATCCGACGGGGTTCTTCCGAAGAATGAAACTTCACGCCGTTCTCTATTAAATAATAAAATCGCTGCAAAACAGTCTAAAAATTTACCCGTAAAATTTTGAGACATTATCTTCTGGATTACTAGTCATCCAAATGAATTACGTTTTGCAAAAAATTTAAGAGCGAATTAATTCGAATTATTAGAGTTATTGCAAAGAGGCTCGATAAATAAAATTAACATATGTCTTTTACCACAGATAAACATATTATAAAGATGTAAAGTTTCTAACTTAACGTTTGTAGGGAGTAATCTTTGTAAATGCTTATCCGTTCATGAAAATTATTTAGCAAAATTTATCTAGCAAAATAAATTATTATTATTAAATAAGAAAGTTGTATCACCTAAGTGAACCTACATCATACGCAAGTAACTCCAAATATTATTTATTCGGTTTATTAAAGTGGTGTTGTTTTATGAAACAATGTTTATTGAAAATTAACAATATATAGTTCAGTGAAATAATTCCTTTAATTAACCACGGGCATGCATTACCCCTTGTTCCCGTTTCCGCACCTTTCAATTGGCTTTAATAAATTTTATCTTTAGAAAAGTGATCCTTTTGCCTAAATAAGTAACAATAATAACAAAAAATTTACGAATTATCATATTTAAGAAGGCTGACTGGCTGAAGTTATGACAGCCAACGAGTATACATGGAAAGAGGTAATGTGAAAACACATTAGATGCCGTGGTTCCAGATATTATCCTCCACATCTCATATTATCTCATAAATTGAGTCGCTTCTCGCTCTCTGTCCGCTAAGATTTTTTAAACTTTAGAACAGATTTGTATGTATAAAACAGGACCAAGCGGGCAAAGCCGCTGGCGGAAAGCTAGTAAGCTCATAAATTTAGCTTCCCCTTTTAAAAATAATTGTAGAAAATTTACAATTGACGAAACTGTACAAGTTTCTGCAAATAAAAAACAGCGTGTAGCATCTTTATTATTGTCTTTAAATTGTAATATGAGATAAATCTTAATTTCAAACAATCAACCAAGAGTGAACGGTCCAAATAAATTCCCCTCCCTCTAAGCCCGGCAAAGTTTAAGCGATTATAAATTTCAAATCAAACAGTTTGTGAACAACTTTGTCATTAAAATGTTAATTTATTGGAGGATCTTGAATTAACGGAACATTGTATGTGTATAGCGTATAAAAACAGATGTATATTCTTCCAAATCATACCGAGATGTGAGCACTCATAAAGAAATAATTTGCAATTAATCATAAAATTTATGGTATTGTACTATTTTGTTAAAAATACAACTTCAATCTTTGTCGTCGAGTACAACAGCATAAAGCTTCAATTAAATAAGATCTATTTCAAAAGATAATAAAGGTTGCTCTATGCTTGACATAGATTTCAACGCTGACTTTATTACATAATAGCTTTCCCACTGTATGACATAAAATAAGTAAGCTGGAGCAAGATAAATAAAACTTTTTACGATACATACAATTTCAGTTTCAAGAGTACAATACCAAATTAAAAAGAAAAATAGTATTTTATAAAATGGGTACATTTTCCACCATATTGTACAATATAATTGAAATTGAAATTCTAAGCATCCTTAATATTTTCTACTGTCAGTTTTAATAGGTTATATAAATGTTTATTTATGCTTAGTCACCCATCCTATGACCGGTCTTTGCGTAAGTTATTCAACCTCCCTAACCACAGATCGTATACGAGAACCGATACTATAAGTTTGAATATAATTGGCACACGAGGCTCATTTGGAAAAATACACATTCCCGGCTTAAATAAATAGCTTCTCATTTGCATTATTTAAATTATCGAGAGTAGCGACAAGAAGTACGGCTCTCACAGCATACTTCGCTTATGTGGAGTCAATTTTACGTTATGCAATTATTATTTGGGGCAATGGTACAGATGCGCAAAGGGTATTTATTGCCCAAAAAAAATGCATAAGATCCATATGTGGTTAGCTCCCGACGTCTCATGTAAGCAATGGTTTAAATTTCTTGGTATTCTACCTCTTCCTTGCTTATATATATTTGAAGCTGCGAAATTTGCCAAACGATACCCTGATTATTACAAAATAGCTCATGAAGTGTATCCCAGGAACACTAGAAATAAAAATAGGCTAGTTCTTAACATAGTCCCAAAAAGCGCGCTATTTAAAATAACTGCTACTGTATGTGTCAAACAATATTTAATAAGATTTCGGAATCTATAAAGAATACACCTTTTACTATATTTAAAAAAGAGTTATATAACTGGCTTGCTGAGCGTTCCTTTTATTCGTTGCATGAGTTCTTAGACTATAGAAACTGAACGGTAGCCTGGGTGGATTAATCAGTGCTTATAGTATCTTCTTTTACTACATTTACATACTATTGTTAATGGCTGAATAGGCGATAATTGTATTACCTTTTACATCTCTTTTGTATACCATTTTCAAACGCAAATAAATTATTATTATTATGAATGGATCCTTTTTTTTTTTCAACCAATCCCAGTTTCACTTTCTGCAGCAGTTACTGTATCATTCCATGACAATTTCTAATTAGCACCACTCAAAACAATAATTTCATAATTGAATATCATACATATTTATATATCGGGTTGGCACAAAAGTAATGAGACACTTGGTTTAAGTTTTTACTTTTTTATTATTATTACAATAAAAAAAGTTTAGTCAGTGATGTAATTACCATTAGTATCTAAGACTTCTTGCCAACGATCCGGCAAAGTTTGGATGCCTTTTGCCCAGAACTCTGATGGCTGTGCCTCGAAAAAGTTGTTCAACTCCGCCTCTACGTCAGAGAAATCATTAAATTGTTTACCCCGCAAATGCTGTTTCAGGGCTCTAAACAAATGATAGTCTGATGGGACGAGGTCTGGGGAATAAGGTGGGTGGGATATCGTCTCCCAGCCCAAGTTCTCCAACTGCCGGCGAACCACAGATGCGACGTGAGGTCGAGCGTTATCGTGCAGTAAAACTACATTGACTCGTCTTCGTCGTTTTTTCTTGATAGCGGCAGATAATTTGGTAAGCTGGGTTGAATATTTGTCAGCGTTTATAGTTTCATTGTGTAATAGCTCATAAAACAGTATGCCTTGCGCATCCCAGAAACAGCAAAGCAGAATTTTTCGGCGGTTCTTTTGACTCGACTTCGGTTGAGTTGGTGGCGTTTCTTCTCGAGGCAGCCAAAAAGCACGACGTGTATCGTTCTCGTAATAAATCCATGATTCATCTCCAGTAACCAGATCTGACGAAAACTATTTACGTCGGGGTCGCAGCAAAAGTGACTGACAGATAGCGACACGGACCGCACGACTGGCGTCTGTAAGGATGTGCGGTACCCACCGAGCCAAAACTTTTCGATAACCAAGCTCATGCAGATGGTGTTCCACGGCGTGGTGACTGCATTTAAGTGCTTCCGCTAATTCACGAGTGGTAGCATCCGGATTCAACTGCAGTTCGCGGCGCAAATTGTCATCATTCACTGCGGGTGGTCG